CTTCCTCCTCCTCCTCCTCCTCCTCCTCCTCCTCCTCTCTCTCTCTCTCTCTCTCTCTCTCTCTCTCTCTCTCTCTCTCTCTCTACGCAGCGACAGGCGCGAGCCGGCGGTACAAGGCGGAACACAGAGCGCGTAGAGTCGCGACGGCCGTCCGCGATCGAGGGGTCTCGCGCGGATCAGTCGTCTCCATGGATCCTACCACTGTTTTCCGCACGACGCTCGGCACTCGTATATACACGTGTGTACGACAGATTTCAAACGCGAGAGAGGGGCGCGCGACTCGCGTACTTGGCTCCTCCCCCGCGAGCGATTCGATCCTTCCTCGGCCGCTCTCTCTCACGCGCCGCTCGAGCGATCCGCGCGCGCACGCGCGCACGATCGTCGGGTGCGCGTCGCCGCGCGGCATCGATCGATCGGCGAGATCTCGAACGAGAGAGAAAACGAACGAGAAAGACGCGCGAGAGGTAATCAATTTAATTCGAAGCCGCCACCGCAACGCACGCGCAAGCGCGCACCTACGCACGCACGCGCGCGCTCTCCACACGTCGGTCGCGATGACCCTGACGTACGCGAAATTTCGCGCCATGTGCGACGATCGGGAGAAGTTTCTGGACTTTCTCCTGCGGCGCGGAACGATCGCGGGTGAGATGCGATGCGGCAAATGCAACGACGCGACGATGCGACCCAACAGAGCCACTCTGACGTTTCGTCCGGCCTGACGAGCAAGACGATCGTGAGTTGGTTCAAGTTCTGTCGGGAGGTAAGCCAAGCAACAACCACGACACCTCCGGGTATACACCGCCCGCGCGCGTCGCGCGAGACGACGAATCGCGAGCGCGCGGCTAACCCCCCCATTGCGAAGCGACTCCTTCGAGGAGCCTCGCTCGCTCGCGGAACGCGTCGCGAAGCGCGTCGAAGCGACCTCACGCCCGCCCGCGCGCGCGCGTGCTGTCGCAGGTCTGCCGCTACTGGTTCGAGAGGTGCGGCACGAAGCTCGGCGGTCGCGACAGGATAGTCGAGCTAGACGAGGCGAAGTTGGGCAAGCGAAAGCACAACCGCGGTCG